GTAGGGAATAAATACACGCTATTTTTTTTTCAGAAGAGTGATCTTATAATTTTTAAACAATGTCTTACAACTATGAATCAACTGTTTGAAAAAATGTTATTAAAATCACTTATAAAATAGATTTCGAAGGGCAATCTTAAATCCTCCTGGTATGAAGAGAGACCTTTATTTTTATTAGATTGACAAAGATCAGTGGACTTTTACAAAACCCAAAAAAACGCGTTGCCATGACTCAGGGAGGACTAAAAATGTTACGCTCTGTACAGTTATTTCACTGTCATATGGCACCATCCAAATTCAAACCGCAGCAAAGCCATTAGCACAGTTGCTAGGCAAAAAACAAGACACAAGTACCAATGCAGATGACTTTATACAGTCTTGCGGCGAACGACCAAAGTGCGTGAAGTGAACGACGAAATCCGTGAGGCAAAACGAATTCGGTATGACCAATCAGGCCGTACTAGTTTTTTGCTTGAACTCCGGAAAATATACAGTAACATTTCACAATTAAACAATATGGCGCCTTTCCCGAGCGCGGCCGAGTAATTAAACAAAAACATAAATTCGCATACAACATATGCGCAGGGCCGGATTAATCATGCCTCTATACATTCTCAGGGCCCTTCTGTATTAAAAAAAAAAACATGGAAAAGATTGCGCTCAATGCTAACTGAGGAATGGTTAAACAGAATATCTTTAAAACTGCGCTTTTCAGCCGTTTGTAGAATGTGAGTAGAAGCCAAAATTTTACCCAAAAGTTTACATCGATATTATTAGTAGTAGGTCCTACTGTATAGTAGATGTTTCTGTTCTGTAATTAACTCCTGTATTAAAAAAAGTATAATATCATATTTATTGTTATAGCGGGGCCATAAGCTTAATTCGATCATGCATGTGCATAATATATAAAATTATAGCCTATATATGCCTTTTTTTCTACCAACTTTAAAGCTGCACCGATGGATATGGGATAAGTGCAGAAGACACTAAAAACGAAAGGACTTATGAATCGGCTGAAGGCCAACTCCTGCCTGACGGATATGACTTTACTCTAAGTGCACTACTAGGGGTTCGAACCCCGACTCAGGCCATCATAATTCCTATTCTTCTTTGAATGGAAAGGGAAAATGATACCGTATGCATGGACTCATAATTATATTGATTTACGCGAAGTCAATTCAATATAAATTATATTTTTAAGCAAGTAATATATGGAGCCGTGTACATACTTTATTTATTATAATCGTTTGATTACCATCAACAGATAGCTACAAATGTAGACGCGTTCGAAGCTTTGGGCTTGTCTTTATTAAGATATGACCAAATCTTAATCTAGAAAGTACATGGCGCCCAACGTGGGTATACACTTTGGCTGTTATTGATTTTTTTTTTAAAAGTAATTTTCTTCGCTGCGCAATGAAATATTTTACAATCACAATTACATGTAAAATATTGTAAATATATTTTAGATTAATAAATAATATATAGTTTCATGGCCTAGAATTAAATGTGTTAAATAGACAAATTACATCAAATTTAAGCAGCTTACAAAGCAAACTGTAAGGCAGATGAAATAGGTGAGACTGAGGTACGCACGCAAACAATTTATTACATTCTACTTCTGTTCTTCTTTATATTACAGAAGGAATTTCTGTGCAAAATTTAGCATAGTTAGAATAAAGGATGGATATTTCGCTTTCATACATATGATACACTAGCTTCTGCCTCTGACTTGACATGACCATGTCTGTTCAATATAAAGTACCTACCTAAGTCTCCATCTCAAATATCCTGCTAATTTCGTGACTATTACAATAAAGACATTAAAAATATTACATTTCTTTCTCATTTAGCATCTCCGGTATAGTTATATATATCATCAATATAGAAATAATACAATACCGTAATTACAGTCTGATACTGTAGATTTCTGTAGTTGATTTTCTTTACAATCCTTCTTTTAATTCATCCATAAGAAACAAAATTTGTAATTATTTCTTTTTATTATATTAGTTTAGATATTAAACTTTCAGCGATATATGTACTTAGGTGGAGTATAGAAGAAAATCATTAAATCTTTTAATATGTCACATTACGTAATTCCAGGCATTAAAACGGGACGCAACAAGTAAGCAAACTCTACAAGTATCATACATACCTAAGTTGCACAAACCCGCTACATTTTCGCAATATTAATAAATTAATACATATCTTCACAATGGAGCACGATCACATTTTTTATTCAAAACACAAATCCCATTATGTAGGAAATGCGTATAAATTTTTAAACAATAAAATATAAATGAATAGTTCAGATATAGAGTATTAATATCCGATTATTTGGAAACTAGACGCATTTTAAAAACGGATGAGGTTTTAATAGATTTTTGTTACGGATGTCGTGCGAATTTGGTGATTTTCGCGTATTATTTTGACAGGGCCAGCCCGTATGGGAGCAGCCTTGCCTTTGTACGGGCTAGAAGTCGGGCGCAGGCGTGCAATCGATCGCAGGAAGCCTGCCACTGAAATTGGCGATAGTTTCCTTTCATTCGATGCATGACAGCGCAAGGAACTGACGAGTCGACGTCTCCGATGGTAAAACCTAATATTGTTTTTGGGTTTATTATATTATCTAAATACCATACATACACACATTTAGTCTTAATGTATATATATTAAGCAAATTTCGACTACGATGAAATACAGTATTGAATTAAAAATGTTTCTTTTGTTTTTATCTTTTCGCCATATTGGGTTGGCATTCATACATATTAAAAAACACAGTCACACGTATGTCTGCATGTTCGCAATAAACTTAAAAAACTACATCGACTTTTATGCTGTTATCAATCCATCAACAGAGTGAATACTGTGTAATTTAGGTGTATTAACTAAGGCTTTGGCGAAATACTCATGCAAAGTCAGGGCGAGTTGCTAGTGAACAATATTTAAGATTGTTACACAATATAATAAAAATATGAGTGTATGAGATGATGACGACGACATGGTACCGATTGATAAAAAATTGACGAAAATTCATTCCTAATTTGTGTCAACAACAGTGTAATTCAAAACCTACTTCAGTACGGAATGTCGAAAGAAAAAAAATCGATTGAAAACTGTCTCTATGTTGTCGGTGAATCGGTGAACAATTTTGAGATACAGCTTGTATAAAATCGCTTAAAAAATACAGATTCTTATTAATAGTTGGAGTTGAAATTGGTTGCGAAACTATAGATTGTATTTGTAAATTTCTAGTAAAAATAATGAAAACTCCACAATTAGATATTTTACTAAACAGTTACTTTCGAATGTCCTTTTCCAATGATTGTTGTGAATTATTGTCTGCATTTATTTAATCCTAAGTATCATTTATTCCTATATTATCTAACCATCAACTGTTTAAATACAGAAATAGAATAATAAACAAATATAATTTTCTATTGTCAAATAGCTGACTCTAGAATAGCATTCTCCGAATACCATATTTATCTACCATTCTACCTAACAATGAGAAAAATACTTTGCAACTCTTGATACCCTAATATGTACTCTAAATCCTGGACATAAGATTGAAAATAAGTCACAACTTTATAATTACCTTGGGAACTATGCCGCACTAACAATACCTATGTGATAATAGTAATTATGTACTTAGTTACTAAAACATTGCTCAATAACTTCATTAAAGTGGTTTTAGACCGTCTGACGGTCTGATCTCATTTTTTTGTGAGGAGGGGATTATTAGTAATAGTAACTACTCGGCCAATTGGCTCCATACCCTGTGATTTCACTGGGATATCTCATCCTTCAACTAAAATACATCAGCCAAAGCTAAGGCAGCTAGCTCTGTTTGGGTGCTGATATAGGTGACTGAAGAGTGCCCATGCTGATGGTACAAATTCTAACTTAGTTAAGTAATACAATTGGCATAGACTAGTTATTTCAATCAGATTTATATATATATAGACGTTGGCCGGATTGATCACGTGCCGTCAAACATAGCATCAATTTTTATATATTTTGAATGAGCTAAGGGATAACTAAAAGTACAATTACATTAGTAATAAAATGAACGTCGCGAAATTTCCAAATTTCTTAATTTCATCAGAAGTTTTACAATTTAGTACCTTATTTCGTTATTAATATATCTGTTTAATGAAAAATGTAACATGCGATTTTTTTAACAAAATGTCATTTTGTTAAATGTGACATGAAACCATAGCACAGAGATGTCATCTTTTCCGTGAAAATCTAATGTCACGAAACTTCACAGAAGCTTGCTGATGATGGATTTCAATATTGTTATAACATTCACTAAAGTGAACTGGACTGGACTTAATAGCTCATTTTCAAAACAGTTTTATAATCCTAATTGGTGTTACAAAATATTTTTAAATAAAAATCATTTAAACATTTGGCATATATGTCATAAATATAAATTTTATAATACTATCACTACCATCCATTAGCTACTAGTTAATACTATAACATATAATTGAGAAGAACTAGCAAGAAACTTTATATTAATTTTCATAGGCCCAAGGAAATAACTTCTATAAAAATAATAAAAATCCTTCCCAAAGTTTTGCTTGTATCATGAACAAAACATTATTAATATACAAACATATTTGTTATAATTTCTTAACACACTTTCAATTATTTACCTTTCTAGGTATACCTTTCAAATCTCTCAATTAATTTTATTATCCATATTCACTACCAGCCAAGGTAAGTATTGTTGATATGAACTTAAACATCATCATCTGCATGTACCTTATCCCAATTAATTGGGGTTGGCGTTATATATTTATCACATCCATTCATCCCTATTCACAGTCACCTTGTTATCTCTCCCTTTCTTACACAGTCAATTACATAACTTTTTCAGCATCTGCTCTTATAATTCCTATGAAAAATATTATGTATATTAACTTTAACATAAACATTAATAATGTTCTTATAAAAATCGCCCAATTATACATTCTATAGACAAATACCTGATGATAAGAGGCCCACATTATCCTGTGCTGGGATATTCATCATAGCTGCCAATGTTATTCTGAAACAAAATTAGACAATATATATCATCATGTTAACTAGTCCACCAAGGTTAGTACTGTGAACTAATTACTCCATCCATTGCTAGCAATGTACCAAGTCAGGTTGACCTCCACATGATTCCTGGGAATTCCTGGAAACCATTGTGATAAATTCCTGGTGAAGTTGTCATGATGGACCAACTGACCCAATCTCATATTCATCCTACCATCCTCCACTGGACTCCATCCATCCTACCTGTTCTGCCAGTGTAAACTGTTCGTGCAAGAGAATGCATCACTCTATATAGATAAAACATTAAAAAAAATTCAAGTAATATAGACATTCAATTACATATCTTATATATAAAATTCTTGTGTCACAGTTTTAGTTCCCATACTCCTCCGAAACGGCTTGACCGATTCTCATGAAATTTTGTGAGCGTATTGAGTAGGTCTGAGAATCGGCCAACATCTATTTTTCATCCCCCTAAATGTTAGGGGTAGTCCACCCCTAAATTTTTTTTTTATTTTAAGGCAAAACAATGTTTGCCGGGACAGCTAGTATTTAAATATATTTATATAGATGATAATGGAATAGTGTATCTGTCTGTGAATGGTATATATATAGCCTCAGTAGTCTAATTTAAATCTGGTAGTTGAAGGCTTGATTCCTCATGTGGTGTAAATATTTGTATAAGGTATGTTTTTACTAATCTGGGTGTTTTCTATGTATAATATGTAAGTATTTACAAAAATATATTTAAGTACTTATATCTAGTACACAAAATACAATTACAATACAATTTTGCTTAGCTTGTGACTAGATACTGCTGTGTGAATTATCCAGGGTTATACATGGAAGCTTATGTTCCCGCCTTTATTGAAAACAGATTAGTATGAGTTGTCCATTTTGTGGAGAATTCTTCAATCTAACTGCAAAGGTTGAATCTAATTTTCAACCTTAAATATGATGTGATGCAATGTGATATAATTTATTGATTGATTTTAAAAATGTAGCAGGTACTAGTAGCCCAACATGGCTTCGACAGGATGCACATAACTTTGTGAGTTGTGAATATTTTAACATAATAAATAGTCTGTCTGGAATAATATACCTTTTAAACAAGAAAAGATTTACTCAAATTGTTACAGTAATATTGCATTGTAATAATCAATTACACAATTAAATTAAAAATGTGGTTTTTAATTTTCAATATGAACTTTTCATTATACATCATAACACCACCAATATATAAATATATATAGCTCAACCTGTCCTTTGATCATCTACTTTTGAATTTATCAAAATTAGACATTCAATTTAGAATCTCAGTATCTTATTTTTGTGTTCCATTGCAATTTAATCAACACTAACTCAATAAATCAATAACAATGTTAAATAGTTCTTTCATTGAACATAGTGCAAATTCAGAAGTTTAAAAAAATATGAAACTGTGCAATTAGAATGTAATTGAAATGCTGGAATTCACTTCCAGAGAGACCAGCAAGGCAGCTTTATAATTAGGATTTGTGTAGAAAATATTAAATTTTATACTTTTGGCAAACAAACTTTTAATTTAGATTAATAATTAATTACTTTCCTTTCTTCTACTCAAGTCATTTCAATTTCAGTTCAAAAAACATGATAGTCAATAGTAATAAAAAGAAGCATATTACTTATTTATTTTAGTTATATACATGTAAATATGCTAAAACATTGCAAATTATAGAACACCCACATTATTCAATTAACAATTATGTCATGTGAACTTATCTTTTGTACATTAGATACAAGCTGTAATGGATAGTTTATCAATCAAACAAAAAAGTATGTAAACATGCTAATATTTACTATGCTTTGGTTACTTACCAAGTTATTTACAAACTACTCAGGAGTCTCTTAAGCATCGCCGCAACAATAACTTGCGCAAATCACAATTAAACACTAATTTCCCAAGTAACCCGGAAAGTTTTAAACAATGCTATCTAAATTTTATGCGAATAGACTTTCACATTGACACCATATAGCCACCTACACAAAACAATAAACAGTTATTTTAGGCGATACATTACAAAAACAGTCTGTCATAAATATGCCCAGTAATCAATTATCTTTGATTGAATGGTTAAACACAGAAAAATAAACACAGAAAAGTATAAAATAAGTTTAATATGCACTGATTGAGAACTTTGAAACTTCTTTGAGTTTTCCGACCAACTCCAATGAAAAAAAAACTACGTAAGTACTTAGCATGATGTGGGGGATTACATTATCAAATGTATAAGAATGAAGCTACCAGAATTTAACAATTAATAAAACTATGAGTCCGTTTATATTATTATACAAATTCTACAATATTATGTACACCTGAAAACTAATACAATTAAAGCAATTTGTTACTATTTTCATTTTAAGACTTTAAAATACAGATCTAATATTGGACAACATAATACTCCGATATAGACAGGTAACATTATGGGAATATGACCACACTCAAATATGAAATAGTGCTTAAAGGAGATTTCCAAGGCCGTAAAATACTTAATAAAAAAAAAAAATGAAATAGTGCTAAATCCTCTTTAATAATGTGCTAGAATATGCGTAGAAATTATTTTTAAATAAATTTTTAAACTGATGTTCACAGATTACGAGCTTATTACTGGTTATACGCTTATAACAGTATTAGTCAATGTGAGACTATTTTAGACTTTGTATTCACAAATAAACGTCTTGTAATAAAAATTTGTGTAAATTTCGGTCTACAAAATATAAAGTAAATGCCTAATTGTAAAATAATTCTGGAACGTTCATTACACCAGCGAAATTTTTCCATATGCTAAATAAACGCGGTTCTAGTTATGCTTGAACAATAAATTTTGCTAAGTCTGGTCACCCTGAAATTGTGCGTAGCTATGATAGCGATATTTCTGATATTAAAAACACAACTACAGATTACTACATTAATTGTTTTTCTTTTAATATTCTAGTAGGATTGGGTACCCGTTCTTTTGCCAAATAATTTTAAATGCTTGTCAGGCAGTTGCATTCTTCATTTCACTTTATCAGCATAGCTGTTTATTTCTAAATGCGATATGGTGCTACACCCACTTGCGCATCCAATGTCCTCCCCTCCCAGTCAACATACCCGTAAGATGATAGGACGAACTTGAAGTCAGGTCAAATACCGAGTGGGGGGATGGAGATTGTTAGTAATGTGGACTCATGACATCATTACTAGCAATGTACCATGTCAGGTTGACCTTCACGCGGTTCCCCCTGGAAACCATCGTGATAAATTTCTGGTGATTTCGTCACGATGGGCTAACTGACCTGACCTTACTGACCTGACTCATCTTATCATCCTCCACTGGTGCCCCGCCAGCATAAACCGTTAGCGCAGGCGGGTGCACCATTCCATTATCGTCCATAAAACAAAAACACCATCCGAGTTAACCTTGACGATTTCCAGGAGAGGCCGCCTAGAGTTCGACCTAATTCAATTACTAGCAATGAATTCTCTATTCTCCAATATTAACAACCCCAAGGGCATTGGATGTTCGGAATCTATGTAGGGAAGTAGAAAATGACCCCTATTGCTAACCGTATAAGGTTGTCTTTTATAAAATTCCCTCTAGAAACTAGCGTGATATATTTCTAGTGAATTTGTAACGATCCCATCGTTGTCAACGTGATCTCATGCTAATTTTGTTATCCTCCACTCGTCCTCCGTCAGCTTAAACCGTTAGCACAGACGGGTGCATCATATCAATATCATCTATAAAAAATCTCCTACTCTCTATTATCCACAATATTATTAATTTTACTTCAGGAAAATCAGTTAAGGTACCTCGTCAATGGTTTTTAGACCGCCCAAGATCAATGACGAAGTATGTTATTGTACTTTGTTTAAAAGTTGCTTATTTCTAACATATTCACTTGTATGCATAATTATATCCTCCCAGTCCAGAATAGAGAGAGAGAGGATTTTGTTAGGTAGGAAAGGTAAAATCAGGCTCTAACACCTATTTACATTACTATAAAGGGGCTAGGTATTATAGGATCCTACCGAATTATAGGTATGTTCCCTACTACAGTCTCATCAACATCATCATTTCAGCCCGGAAGACATTCAGTGCTGAACAATTGTCTGCCCTAAAAATCTCCACGTCGATCGGTCCTGCGCTGCGCTGGTCTTGATCAGATCGTCGGTTCACCTTGTCGGAGGTCTTTCCACGTTGTTTATTCCGGTACGCGGTCGCCACTCGAAGACTTTACTGCCCCAACAATCTGTCCTACGAGCTATATGCCTTGCCTATTACCACTTCAGTTTCGTAATTCTTCGGGCTATATCGGTCACTCTGGTTCTTTTACGGATCTCCTCATTTCTGATACGATCACACAGAGTAACTCCAAGCATAGTCGTCTCCATTGCCCTCTGAGTGACTCTAAGCTTATTGAGGCCCATCATTATAGTCTATACAAAGCATAATGTTAGAAGTATACATTAATAAACGATAATGATAGAATTTAATGTTCGTAATGTCATAAATATTTTCATACACAAAAATATCCAAACATCAGTATTGTGTTAGCTTTTAAGAACAGCTGGTTCTGTTACTGCCAAAATGTACTTTTGTGGGTAGATACTATAGGGGATTATTACTTAAATAATGAACACTTTACAGGCATTGAATATTTTCTTATGACATATTTATATTTTATTTATTTAGGTTGCTTTGAATATGGTACAATAGTTTCCGTTGTCTTTAAAATGTGTTTAAATTGTGTTTTTTGGCTAAATCGGAGTGCCGCCGTACTCGGGACTTGACACTTGTCTACTATACGGTAGTTTTCGCTTGTCATCTAGCGGCCAATTATATCATGAAGTGTGTACAAGTTTTGCTATATATCTAAGCCATAAGGGAATATTACATACTATTTGACAGTTGCTTATACAAATCTAGTGCAGTGTTCGTAACTGCAATAAATATATAAAGGTATATATTAGCATTTTTATTATAACGTTAGCAACAGAGATACATACATAATCGACCGCCATTAGAACGTAAGTTGTTTGCATCTACAAGTCGCATAAACAAACCACGTGAAAGTTCCTTGTATTAAATTAGGTTATAGGTAGTGGTGGTTAGTGTAATATAATGATTATTTGTTTAGGGGGTATTATTATGTATTTCATTTTTTTTAATATCCAATAGCCAGTAATATGAATTATTATCTGAATTTATTGTAAATAAACTGGTATTTAAAAAAACAAGTAATTCAATCGAGTTTCTTTCCAGTTCTTCTCAATTGGATCTATATATCGAACTGGACGGTAGGGAAAGAAAAAAATATAATGTAAAAACTTGACGTTCATAAGCGGCTAAAATGTCCTACTCGAATAAATGGTTTTTTGAATTTGAATTTTATTTGAATCACAGAAGTACCATGTTACTGAAAATAAATGTAGTAACGAACAATATCCAATAATTTATTTATAATAAGTATTAATAGACATTTAAGAAAATATTTTTATTTATTACAAAATTATATTAAAAGTAGTGACTCCAATTACAAGTTATAGATACCTATATGTACCTATGTATAATCATTTTAAAAATATACCTTTGGTTATTAGGTAACTATCTACAAATAGATTTTATTTTACATTTGTTAAGGCCAATTAAATATAATTATGGCTTTTAACGTTATATACTATAGAAAAAGAAATCTATGGTAATACAATAGTAAATTTTAAATATACTACGTACCAACGCAACATCTTACTTTATCAGTGGAATCGAAGTATCACATAAATATAAAAAATATATTTTTCACCTCACTAACTGAAAATGTTGCTTGATTAATAAAACAGTATCATTAATGATTTGAATTTATAGTTATTTTGTCCCTTTCTAAATAATTTTAATGATTTACAAAACCTTCAGAATTTAAATAATAACTACCTACTTATATTTTATTTCAATCAGTATTTTTGCACAGAATATTAATAAAGTGCCATCTATTCTCAAATTAGGTAGAGCTTGTATTTTGGGTAATTTACTTGTAAATACACCCATAATATACATAAAAATATCCAGACCAATACAAACACACATATTCATAAATAAAAAATGTATTCTATCGTGCGAAGAATAGATCCCGCAACCGTCGAAAGTAAGGCGGTGTAACCGCTAGACCACTGAACTATATGTATTTATATAGGTGTATATCTTCGAAAGAGTGTGAATTCCGTTAGTTTAATATCTCTCTAGTGAGATTGCAAACTAGTCGATACATTGTGAATAATAGATAGTAGCACCTATAGCGTAGTAGATATAGACATATAACAGTTCTTGAAATCTAATATATTATTTTTAGACAGTTTCTGTCCGAAAATTACATAGGCACAACGAAATTAGTTTGTGTCTGAATATACTGTCTCGCTAGTGAGGTGAATATTTTAAGTATCAACGAGAGCTAATTTTTTTCCTGTGTTTTTAAACACTGACGATATACGTCGATTCAAACTTAACCCTCGCTTACTCAAATCAATCCCAGGGGTTGCTCTCTGGTTTCACATTTCTATTTCCATTATAACGCTACATCTTTATATTTTCCTAGATCATCAGATTCATTGCCTACAGATGTGTGGCTATTTCTAAGTCCATAGAAGACTCTGTCTCTTGATCCGCTAAAGCGATACGGTTCATGTCTTAATAAGTTGACACCATACGCCGCATCTTCTCTTTTATAATCAGGATAAAACCTCGGGTCATATTCCGGATACATTCTCTGTTCATACGGATAAGGTCTATAATATGGATAGGCCATTTCGCTCTTGCAATCCATTCTGTCTTCGTATACTTCATATTTGGATGGGTATTCGTCACTATTGAAAGCACCAACTATAGAATGACGCCGTTTGTATGGGTTGTCGTAAGGCCCGGATCTAGGGCCCACCCAAGTTCCATACATTTGGGGTACTTGGTAAGACTTAGGGTAACCCCTGAGACTGGCAGCGTATTGTCTCTCAGCGAGGTGTTGCCAGTAAGCCGGAGGTGGTTGTTGGACCATCACTGGTGGGTAGCCCATATTCATTGATTGGCGACTCGCAAGATGGCGTCGGAGATCAGGCATAGAACCTGATTTACCTGGAAAGTGAAAGAAATACATTGAAAATGTAGCATTTTGTTTGCAAACTTGAATAATTGTAAATATGCGTAACTTAAACAGAAACAGTACCAATTGACGTTCATAAATTATAATTTAAAAGATATAGGTACTAAATAGATTTGCTACCATCTATATATTTAACAAATAGCGACTGTTTTTAGTATTCTATTCTCAAACTAAGATAATAAGCATTTTGGATCATACACTTCGCCTGGCCGAATTGGATGAATGGAGGAATTATAAAGAAGAAAGAACCATTATTTTAAGAAAGTGCATTTAATTCATTCCCATCGTAAATAGTTATTATTATTTATATTTAAATCTAAATGTAACGATGTCTGTTAATTAAAGAGATCGAATATTGATTAAGGGCTTGCCGAAACTTTAGTCTTTTATGTAATATCTTTAGATGTCCATCGTAGATATCTTGTTATTATGTGCTATATACAGAGAGAGAGAGAGAGAGATACGCTAGACTATTGTATAAAAAGCTGTAATAATAACTTATGCTGGACATAGATACTTTATAAGTTATAGAGAAAATTAATTTTAAATATACTTCATATAAATAAAACCCAACCTGAGTCAGGCATGAATCCGTCGTTAGCGAATGCGGCTGGTGCATCAGGCACGAAGTGACTCGCGTCAAACTCACTGCCACTCACTGCTGCACCATTATTGTACCCCGTAGACCTGAAATTATTAAGTAAAACAAAAATTTCATGACAGTAATCGGAAATGGAGAGATAATAGAAAGAGAGAGAGTGTAATAAACTCCGCTTTGGTTATAGGCAATGCCGGAACCATTGCACAGGGCCCAGATGACAAATTATTTTATTGTTTAAATGTATATTAATCCAGAGTAATCTAGAGGCTGTATATTAGACTAGCTGTACTCGCGACGTCGTCCGCGTGGATTTCAACTTTATTTTTCTAAAATAGAAGTGTTTTTCTAAAATAAAAATAGCCTAAGTTACTCCTTATTACATTAGCCAAGCCAAGCCATTTGAGAGATTAGCCAGAACAAACAGACAGACAGATAAAAATGGTAAAAAATGTTATTTTGGTGTATGTGCCGTATTTATATTCATATGCATGTAATAAAAAATGGTTATTTCAATATTACAAACAGACACTCCAATTTTATTTATATGTATAGATTAATGTATACAAATCTTAAGTTACTATCAAAGCCTATCTGTGCCACTTACTTTTGCGAACTGTATAACTCAGTTTGTTTTCAGAAACTATAATCATTTCTTGCTGTGATATAAGTACTATATCACTGCAATCTTTGCAGCTGTCTGATAATAACATCGAGAAATAATAATTTTGACGGCCTCAGTAGTTAATGGTTTAACACACCGCCTCACGTTCCGATAGTCGCGGGTTCGATTCCTCTCACGGGTCTAACATTTGTATTTATAATTATGATAATTTTTATGGGTATGGATATTTTTTTATTACAAAAAAAAACGTTTCTATGTATGTATATCAGTTGTCATATCACAAGCTCGAGTTTAGATTGAGACTAAATGGCACTGTGTAAATTGTCATGAGATACTACTCTATTATTATTATTATTACTATTTTATAATACAATCAGTCTTTTATTTTGGTTAACAATCAATAATGGTAGTCAAGATAAATATACAATATAAATCGCATACGCGTTGCCTGGCATAATCCTGGTCTAAGAGTATCCGAGATTCTTTATAAGGAATATCTACTATCATCTGTCTGACACTTGCTCAAACATTCCCTTAGCACATGCGTTATTAATTATTAAAAAATATATTCAGCTATTACCAACCTGGCTTCCCTTAGCGCATAAGCGGACTGCACTAAAACAACACCACAGACTATAGCGGGAAGTCTTGCTACGTAGCAAGCTAATTCTGCACCACCGTACACGCCTTGAAGACCCTGATGAAAAAAGTTACCAGCATCAGTATATATTATAATATTTTGTTTTTCGTGGAAAACATTCATTATTCAGCTTGCGAACTGATAACTGAACTTTAATTTTAGAAATACCTGACAATCATGCAGATAATTTTAAGACTATTGTTTAGTCCTTCCTCTTTTTTTAGTACAACAAAAATTAAATTCTATATATCCCAGCTAAATCACATCGCAATCGGAAAATGTATTTTCCATTACACAAATAGGATGAAAACTTACAGCTTCTATAAAAGCTTTATTTAAATAGTGACCGGTCAAAAAGCTTATATATTATAGCGTTTAGGAGAAATAAAAGCAATCTTTTGAATAGTCATATAATATTTTTATACCGCTCATTCGGAAAGCAGACTCATCATAACAGGAGCGAGCCAGAAACTTACGTATTACTCTTTGAAATAAATGTTGATGTAATGCAAAATTTAGGATATTGTGTGAATAAAAACTGTATTTGCCAGTTTCAAAGAATGACTTATGTCATTCTTACACTGAAACTAAATATATTGTAAATCCACCTTAAATATGTACTCACCCAATGACTAATGGACATATAGAAGACTAGAGCACATTCAGGAATTAACACTAATATGACTGCAATCAGCCACGCCAATAGATATTTGTTGTTTTTCTGTAACAGACAAATACACACACATTTATCTTCTAAATTTAAATATACACAATAGATTGTTAGTTATGAGGATAATGCTAGCAATGAACCATGTCAGGTCGACATGCGGACCTTCCCCTAGAAACCATCGTAACCAATTCCTTGTGAAATCGCCACGTCCAGTTAACTGATCTGTCTTCACGCTTATCTTATCTCTATCATTCTATACTGGTGCCCCAAAACGTATTTAATTAACGCAGGCTGATATCCGTTTATTTTTTTATCTTTAAAAAAGCTTTTATTGGCCTCGGTGATCTAGCGGTTTAGCACAGCGCTTTCGATAGTCGCGGTTTCGAATCCTCACGCAGTATTTTTTTTTATTGTGTTGTATTGATCTGGGTATACAATATTTATATATTACGTATATATCTATAAAAAAAATAGATACATACTTACACAAATCAGACAGAGTCCCAAATTAGACAGAGCTGGCGTTATGTGAACACATAACGCCAGCTCTGTCTAATTTGGGACTAGATGGCTTGGCTCCAGTGATATTTTTATTTTTTAAAGTATTTTGTTATTACTGCACAGGTCACTAAATTTTGTTCAAATTATTTGCCAGTATGTACACCGCCCACTAACCTTGAGAACCACTAGTATAGGTATTTAAGGGCGTATGCACAACCAGTTATTGCCAACTGCCTCCCGGCTCAGCGGGGCGTCTATAAGCGCCCGGTTCAATATAATATATTTTATACGTACTCTCGAATCATGCGCATTTTATTATTTAAAACTCATTTTAATAATAATATAACTCTTTATTGTACACAGAAACAAACATTTTGACATAAATATGCTACACAGAAAGCGACGCTATCGCTTAAAATCATCTAGTACAATTACATTACCTTCCAATACTAGCTTTGTACTCTATGTTTAGGGTGAGAGTATAGGTGACGATGACCACTTACCGTCAGCTGCATTGTCAGTTTGCTTGCTATACCAAGTTCATAAAAAAACAGGTTTTGTTTCTTAGTCTACAATTTGTACAAAGTCTAACTCTACTAAAAGTAGATCAATAAGTTATTTCTATAGACATTAATGTAATAAAATTTTAAAATACCAAGAGCTAAGTTTGTTGTCAAGTGATAAAAAGAATCCTTGGCTCGAAAATAAATTCCGATCAGTGTATTCTGCTTAAAATATCTATAATAGAAATGTCTGTAATAGACCTACATGAATAAAGATATTTCGATTTATTTATACCATACCCAAACAATGATAAGTAGCAATGTAAATATCTAACGTTATCTGAACTTACCGAGATCAGTCCGTGCACGAGTATGACGGTGGCCGCTATGACGACACAGTAGCACACCATCAGCAGTACGGAAGGGATTGGTAGACCACTCTGAGACTCTACCACCCACACTATCTCGTAGATTAAAGCTATCGCATACGCCACCTGGAAATTGTAAAATAGATAACAATTATACAATACATGTAGAAAAATGACTGTAGTTTTATTTTATATTTTATTTGTTTCTCTTCTGTTGTGTTTAATTTCTCATTTATCTCTCTCTCTCTATAATATCATATCATTTATATATCTATGCGTATTATTACATTTATATACTGTAACTCCGATTAGATACGGCAAAAGTTTTAATTCTTTGATGTGTTTAAAGTTTTATTTATTTTGTGTTCATGTAACCTACGAGACATATAAGCATGTTATAAATGTAAATTTGAAAAGTTCAACTACAAACCAAAAATTGACAATCTCAAAAAGGTATATTTTACATATAAATTAAATATATGTATTCGATAGTATTTAAATTTCTTCCGCAGTAACCTATTTAATATTTACTGTAATTTACTATTTTTATTTATTAATTTATTACTCTGTATTGCATCTCTTAAAAATACAAAAAACAATATATAGAATATGTATCTGTTCCAAGACAACTTTAATTGATAATGTATGTAGTACATATATTACAGATTAAAGTAAACATGTTTAGATTATTTCCTGCATAATTAAATTAAACTCTAAAGAACATAATACTTTTGTAATTATTATATCATCACGGTAAGTTTTACGATGACCCGCATAATAAATGAGAGTTACTCAAATATATCAGAATCTGTGACAAAGGTTTCCCATAGTATTTGCTAAGTACACCAGTAGTTGTCAAACCATAAGTTGTACAGCAAACAAAAGCTTACTCTCACTTCTGAGCATAGTTTCATTAGATAATGACATAACTGCGCGTGGTTGGCCTTAAATAATGCCCAGTATTACTTGACACCCGATGTTTTTGGTTTTATGTAGAATAGAAAAGGGAATGAAGTTCTAATGTCTATAGTCATACATCATTTCAGAACACGAGGTTGTTTATGTAGCTGCCGATTTTTATTTAATTATTTTTTAATAAATTGTAATAAATTTGTAAGTTATATATGGGATAAAAAATTAAAATAATTTACTAATGGCTCAATGGCAGTTGGACGTTCTGAAGTTGCACTATGGTATTATTCATGTGTCAACATGAACTTAGATATAAAGAATGTTTTTTTTATATCTTCCTGTGCAAGTACAAGCAAGTCTAAAATTAAAATAATTTAAATAATGTATATTAAACACGAAAGTTTAAAATTAATTTATAATAATTTTTTGATTGTGTACGTGTTATGTTTTATATAACATACATATATGCAACATATACCTAAAGTATAAAATCAAAAGCAATAACGTATAGATTAAAGTCCGAAATTATTAATTGAGCTGCCATTATTTTTCATTACATATTTTCAAATAAAATTTAAATACAATATTTATAATATAACTAAGACTATTTTTCTACATCAAAGATTAATTATTTTTAATACCATGCCAATAATTTTTTGACCAAAAATTATCCTACATAAATATTCGCTTATATATTTTATAGATTTTTTTTACTACGACGACGGCAAACAAGCATACGACTCATTTGATAGTAAAAGGTTACCGTAGTCTATGGACGCCTGAAATATATATATTACTTTTGTTACTGCTTTCTCTACAAATAGAAATTACTTTCTTAGTTTAAATACTTTAAGATTGTTCTTAACGCTTAAAAGAAAAAGGAATGTTTATACATGATTAAATCTGCAAAATTATATTAATAGACTAGTCAGCTGATCAGCAAGCCTGTTTTAAGCAAGTTGCAAGTTCTTGCTCGTTATCCTTGAGTTTATAAACCACGGAACATCAGTCCAACAAAATAAAGAAAGTAAATGTTTGTTTTGACTCTTTTTTAATCTTAGTCGTAAAGTTTCAGAGAACGGATAAATTATGTTTTATGTTAATAACGCGAATAAAAATCCGTGTTCAGTAGTAGGACGTTATATAGCCTAAACCTTTCTCTTGAGTCACTCTATTTATTCTGTCTATCAAAAGAAAACGCATTAAAATCCGCGTATTTTTTTAAGATCAAAACATACATAGATACAGACAGACAACGAGAAGCGAAATTGTTTTATACTTTATCACGGCTTGCCAAAATGAAATTTTTTAATTTTCTGTTCATGTAAACAGAAAAAATATTACTATATATTCTTTATTGCACTTTTAAATACAGTTCTAAACTTAAGTATATACAGAGTGAGCAAAGGTGGACTTATCTCTAAAAGAGATCTCTACCAGTCAACCCAACAATGTGGCATAGCTAGTAGTGAGTAGGTAACACATGTGCAATTAACAATATTATATTGAAATGTCCAAACGTTGAGAAAAGAAAAAAACAATTTAAAACCCAACAAATTAAATAATGTTCTAATTATATTATAATTATAATAAAATATACAATAATAAATAAAATAAACAAAAATAAAAGTTAACATACGTATAAATATACTTACTAATGCATATGCCGCTATGAATCCGGACGCAGCCGTAACGCTGCAGCAGAAAATTCTGCTCACAGCCGGTTTCATCCGTATTTTAGACGGTGTTTCCACATCACTCAGCTCGTTGCTTGTAGACATTTTGCCACTTAATTCTGCTAGCTCCTAAACTATAATCTTCATTGCATCACTGAGTTTTATAATTGTAAATAGTATTTAGTTATTAAATCCATCTTGGCGTGAACAGAGCTCATTGAAAGCATTTCTTTCGCACCATACTTTGTTATATTGTTCTAGTTTGGTATTTCTTATTTTAATTGGAAATTGTTTCACCGTTATCTTACTACTTTAAACTTATAACATATTTATTTTAAGGGTAAAATAAATTGTTAAAATACATCTTCTAATAATAAAAGTAGACGCTATTGAGGTTGTTGTGTTCCTGAAAATCGAAGCTTTGAAAATTCCCAAGATCTGAAACAAATGCATATCTTGTTATTATTTAATATTTATAAGTATACAACAAAGTCGCCATCGAAGTCTGTTCTATCATATCTCATAAATTAAGCAAAGGTTTTTAATATAGTTTTCAGCAATAGATACAGTGATTCAAAAGAGACGTTTATATGGACACATATGTAATACAGGGGTGTTATAATATAGAACAAACCGAAAAATTCAAAGATTTGTAACGTATCCGTGCAAAGCCTCGACGGGTCGCTAGCCATTACATAGTATAAAACAAAGTCGCTGTCGCTGTCTGTCCGTCCCTATATTTGCTTAATTCTTTAGAACTACGCAACGGATTTTAAAGCGGTTTCCTTTTTAATAAATAAATTTATTCTTGAGGAAGGTTTATATATATAACACATGTACACTCGGGCGAAGCCGGGGCGAATAGCTAGTAATATATAAAACTAAAATAGAAAACTGATAAAACCAACAAATAGCTGGAGATAAAACATCTACAAAAAATAATACTTAATTAATATTAAAAAGGCAGTCGAGTTAAGAAACCTCGTTTTGTTATTCTTAATCTATGGTGATGAAAAATACGACCATGTATATAGACAAATAGACGTGATGAAATTATAAAATTTCCAATTTATGTAGTCGTTTATTTTAACTGTCCATAAAAATGCAACAGAAATAAAACGTATAAATTCGTGTAAATGCATTTACGGAATAGTGACAATGACCTAGTTATATATTGACCAACGAAATCAACGATCATAGAGCATTTTATTACACACTGATCATTACTGCAGTACAGATACCAGAACTGTTTTATTCTATACTAGCTGTTCCCGCGACGTCGTCCACGTCGCATTTAACTTTATTTTTCTAAAATTAAAGTGGCCTAAGTTACTCCTTATTACATCAGCTACCAATAAAAGTCCCGTCAAAATTGGTCCAGCCATTTCTGAGATTAGCCGGAACAAACAGACAGACAAAAATTGGAAAAAATGTTATTTTGGTAGGTATATGTACCGTATTTATATTCATATGTAGCAAAAAAATGGTTATTTCAAACAGATACTCCAATTTTATTTATATGTATAGATTAATTTACGGACTATAGTCCTTTTTTCGTACGTAAGTTAAGAGTTAAGATATAGCTACAAAAACAGGATAAACACAGCGCCATCTAATCCCACGGTAAATAGAGCTTGTGTTATGGGTACTAGATAATACATAGAAAACACCCAGACCGATACTAATAATCATACTCATATATACAAATGTTTGTACCGTGCGAGGAGTCGAACCCGCGACCATCAAATGTATAGCAGTGTGCCAAACCGCTAGACCACCGAGGCCGTCATAATACATTATAATCTGTCTCCCATGATACCACTCATGCGTTGCCATTCCAGAACAATAAGATATCACGTTTCTTATTCTGTAATTTCCTGTATTTTAGTAAATACATATTTAAAAGAAAAATTTTCAGATTAATACAAATATATAATAGATTGGTGCAAAGATACATGGACGATAAGATAAGGTCAAGTCAGTGTGCCCATCGTGACCAAATCCACCAGACAATAATCAGGATGGTTTCAGGGGGACCCCGTAGAGGTCAACCCGACATGGTTCATTGCTAGCAATACAAACTCTTCCCTTCCACCCTTCCTAGTGACCGTTAATCTGGCATAATGTAATGTACTCCATTAGGTCAACTTTCACATGATTCCCTAGAAACCACATAGGTTAATTCATGGCAATTTGTCAGGATGGACTTACTGGCCTAACCCCATGCTCACCTTATCATCCTCCACTGGTACCCCGATAGCGTTTTCAATTAGAACAGTCGGTCGCGCCTTTTCATTATAGTTCATAAAAAAATCAAAAGTAACATATATGAATATTATATGTAGAGCATTGCCGAGGTCATTGATCGTTTACATACAACAAATTAAGTGGATGTAGGTAGTAACGATGTAATTGCATACAATACAATTCCCAGCATTGAAAAAGTTATGGATACTTCTCATGGGATTGTAACAAACAATTTAGCGTGTCTTATATTAGTTCAATGTAACTATTAATTGATATAAGGAAATGCGTACAGACACATAATATATGTTTTAAATAACATGTTACCGCCACTAGATCGACGGTGCCTAGATTCTAGGCCTTATGACGCAATTTTGTAAAAACTTATGTAATTCTAATAAAGTTTTCTTGTTTCGCGGTTAATTAATTCGAGATGATAGAATTATGAATATTTAAAAAACAATAAATTATGTATATAACTCTAGCTGTACCCGCGGTTTCACCCACGTGACATTTATAGCCTATGTTTTATTCTGATTTGTAAGCTTAATATAGCTGTAAAAGTTAAATTGTGTGTTAAACTGTAAAGTTAAATTAAAATCCATTCAGTAGTTTTTGCTAGAAGTAGTAACAAACATTAATCCATACGCGTTTCAAACTTCTTGGCGAAGATTAGAATTTTGTATAAAAAAAAATATTTATTACTCTTATTCTAATTCTACCCCTAATGATCAATAGTGTAAATACATATGTTTTTTATCTCTCTCTAACTAGACTTATAACGTAATCACTTAGATTCTCCTTGGTAATAACAAAACCTTGGCCCACAGAATGAAGACATTATCTATATGATTTAATCATTACATGCAATGATTAATGGTTTATTTTTGTTCTGTATGCTGCCACACATACTCGTAGATATATATAGTAGTAGATATACCTGTTCTTGATTCAATTTCTAGATAAGCTTTTCGTCTATCTGCCCCGCTATTTGTTGTAGTCTGTTAAATTTTGACAGGAAATATTGTTGGCGCAATATACGTCGAGTTATATTTAATTTGATAACTTAATAATAAAATATAAATATAGTCTGTTGATACAAATACTACATTAACGCAAATATTTGTAATATTGGGAAATCCACTCTAAACCACTTCAAAGTCTAATTATATAATTTATAATTATTGAAGTAATGTAGTACAGTAATAAGTGCAATATGTTCAGTTTCAATGAATAGATAGTCACTATTTGTTTATATACGACGGTCCTCTATATTCTAATATTAATAGACAAAACCTTTCCTGATAAAGTGTTAACATTAGTAACATTAGTAATAAATACCAAAATTTTATTAATTACTACATGTTTGATTATTTCTAGAACTAATAATTTAATTGATATTATTTTTCAGTTTTGTTAATCATCATCATTTATCATCATTATCATCATTTACAGATTTATTCTAACACAACTTGACACATGGAACTGATAGCATTATTCTTCGAAATGAGCTTGTACATGATTAGAGAAATGCAGATTCATGTTTAAATTAAATTAGGGAGAATGTAGTGATACCCGGAATGCTACTGTATTATTTTTTAAAAGGAAGTCATTTTAAAAGTCTCCTAATACAAAATGGTTTTAAATGTACTTTTGAGGTACATAGCAAGCGATGTGGCCACTAGTCCTTTCCCCCTGATTGGTAAGCCTCTAGATAGCATCAATGCCATGGACGGTCCGTGACAAATGGGCAGAATACCTTACCTTGCATTGTTCATTACTAGTGGGAGTTTAATTAACTAGACTTGTATGCGGACGTGATTCAACAAACAACTTGATGGATTTAACCAGCAAATTTACATAATACATTAACACACATATTATAAAACAAAGGTTTTTGATCATAATAATGCCACATATAGACCAATGGTTGTCGCAAGAACACTAGTGATATTCAAAAACACCAATGTTGATTTAAACTAATATTATTAGATATTAATTTTTGATTTAAAATAATATTGTTTAAATACGTAGCAGTGCCCACTCTTACTAAGAAAATTTGAAGTAACTAATCTCGAAGTTTACCTTTCGTGAGTAAACTGATAAATACTCAACCGATTTTAAAATTAACCTATAGCTGCGTTTTTATAGAAATGACATTTAAGTATAGAACATATTTAATTTACAAATAAATTAAAATAATTTCACAATAATTTTCACGTGAGAAGCTGGGGCAGATCACTAGTCACTTTATGACTAGGACAGGGGAGTTTATATGTACTTAATATTGTACCATATATTTTACATTAACATTACTGCACTACATTTGAAAAAAACGTATAAAAACTGACTTGAGCCGCAGACCTGCCCCACTCCTCCAGTCCCTCACGAAGTGTTAGGTAGGTACTCAACTGTATATGTATTTCTGTTTTAAACATCATATGACATATGTACAATGTAAAGCATAATGTAGGTACAATGTAAAGCTTTTATTTCTAGTTGGAACCTCAATTGGTTTCAAGCAACTTACTAGGACTTGATACTTTCCCTGAGGAAAGTGAAACAGATTGATCTGCACGGCTTTTGTGTACGTGCTATGTTTTTTGAAACAAAACAGATACTTATGTGTCCCCATACGGACGGAGCGAATCGATTTGCATTCAAATAGATATAATGCTAATACCTCTTATTTAACGCTAATGAATTACAACCTCTTTAGTCAGTGCCGTAACGTGGTATTTCCCCGCCTAAAGACAACCGGAAATTCGCCACTAATTCTATTTTTATTATTAGTAAATAAATTGTATCAACTTAATTATATACATTATTTTTGTCAATTAATAAAATAATGCATATTTAATGTTTTTTTTTCAAGAAGTTTCATTATTTTTACTTAAAATAATCACGCCGCTTTACGCCCCTTTTCGAGATTATTATTATTATCCTGTCCAGGGCCATAGCCCCCTCTAAACACCCACTCCACATTCTCTTAAGTAATAACACTATTGTTTTAAGTATTAAGTTTTAATAGTATATTTTAGTGATTAAAAATATGTTCACACATATTAATCACTAAAATAAAAATGACGATGCTATAACTCGAAAAAGAAGCTACATGTATAAAGTCATTTACATAAGTCTTGAATTCGATTCTAGATCCACTTACATGACATTACATACATTCTAGATACACA